GTCACACTTTCAAAGCGACGTATTTTTTCTTTATACCAAAAAAAACCTTGTGTTGAAGTTTTGAACCTTCGGAAAAGCCGCAATGTATTCATGCTAAGTTGTAAACGCTGTCTGTCACATTGCCTCATCGTGGGTCAGGTATTCCATTGTATTGGACTAAGATACAAAGCAAGAGGTACTCGTAGAATTTGGTTTTGATAATGAGGAAATAATCCAGTTTGACCCTATTTCCTACGCATCGTCAAGCAATTTGAGCATTGTCCGTGCTTCACCGATACTCCATGACAAGAGAACATTCTCTTCAGTGAATCGAAATTTAATATGGGTGAATTACTCATCATAGTGTTTTCGCCACAGTCTAAACACTGTAGTGTCATAATAAAAGTTTGGCTAAAAAGCGTTACTCTGTTAGGTTCCTTTCCTTGCAAGGATGGGAAGGGATCAATAGAAACTGCACTACCGCGGTGACTGGATCATTCCTTCACCGATAACTGCTCATAAATGCACATCAAAAATGATTGATATAACAAAATTCCAAGCGCAGTTCTGTCTTCCAGCTCTTTGATCTTCATGCAATATATCTTGATACGTGGCAAAGTCGGTCGTGGCAGTTACTGCAAGGATCACCATTGTTGAGACCCTCACCCGGTTAGTTCGTCCTTCCTTTTAAAAACAAATGTGGCTTTAGTTGCTAAAAGTGCTTGTAGTTCATGGCTTTCGTATGAAAAGAAGTCGATTACTGTTATTTGGATTTAGAACTCCATCTATCCTCACTTCGTACTTCAGAGTGACGAATCTTGGATGTTCTTTTTCCAGTTCTGATATTGCGGTCTGTAATGGAGATTATGGAACAAAGAATATTAGAATATAACTTTTTCGTCATCAATCTCATAAGTACTAGAGAAACAGAGATGATGATCAACGAGCACAACGAAGCAGCGAAAAAGATCGGATTTCGCGTAAATCGAAAGAAAACGCACTTCATGGTGCAAAAAAACCCATGGTGCAAAGGCGAAAAAATTGAATTGGATGGCTCATCTCATTGCAGAGACCACCTCGTACGCTCACCTTAAGCGATCAATGAAAATGGAAAACAACATGAACGAGGAACTAGATAGAAGTAGGAGAGCAGCTTGGGCCACAATCGGGTCTCTGAAGAAGCCACCATCCAACTGAAGGACACGAAAATCCGCGCTTATCTCTTTGATTCTACGGTCTTCCCGGAGCTCTGCTATGCTGCAGAGACGTGAGTTGATACTTCAACTACGTCAACAATGCTTCGAACTCCTCACAGAGAGCTTGTGCGATGTCTTCTGAAATATGAACGTCACTCTCAATATGTAGCCGGAATGCGAAGCTCTGACCTTCGAAATCTGTCACATCTTCGAGATCCAGGAGAATATACAACGACAACGAAAGATAGATAGGTCGGTCACATAATAGGAAAAACTGAATGACAGATTGATGAAAAGAACAGCAGAGTGGACTTCAAGAGAATGCAAACGCTCTCTTGGACGACCAGCTACGTAGGCGGCCGTGTTAATAAACAAAGTTAATGAGCTCTACACGCAGCAGCAGTTGTTTCACAGTGCACGGTATGAGACTCGCAAGCGCTACCATTCTTGAACAAGTCCACAATCATGGACTGCGACTGCGAGAGAAGGGAATGAATGGCATATATTCTGGGGTCCGCACAGCTCTTGAAGACGGACTGCCCAAGTATCCAAATAAGTAGGTATCTCATGAGTGTATTCGTGGCCTCATCTTCGTTCTTTAATGTACCAATACAATCTATGAACCAATACAACTCTCTTACTGAAGTAGAATTAAGCTAAGTTCAGCACAAGAAAATATTTATTTTCCAGCTCGACATGTTGGGTAACGGTTGCATTGATGACAATTTCTACGCCACGGATATTTCATATTATCACCACTATCGATAAGCTCTCTTCATTTCGTTTCGTGCGGTCGTTTACGTGGTGTTTTATGCAGCATGCGCTTTCAATGAGTGTTGAAATCGAGGAATGAAGAGACTGTTCTGCTGTTATCAATGCTAAGTTTAATCCTGTTTCGTGGACGCCCTACGCAACCCGATGTTTAATCGCTTCTAACCTGATATTTCACTGCCTTACATTATAGAGAGATGCTTCAACTATGTGGCTTACTGATTATTGGTGGTCCATTACTGGTGGCCAACTTTTTATTTCGTGTAGTCCAAGGGTAGCCTTGCCAGGTCATTTCCACTGCAGGCAATGTTTTTGGATCTGAGGGAAGTTTGATTTTGGCAGCGACTCTTAGAGTGGGCAGAGTCTCTTAGCTATTGGAATACGATGTATTAGGTAAAGAGAATTCTGTAATGGTAAAAGAAAAAATTTAGCGGTCTCCTTGGAAACGGTGTCGTTAGCTTCTAAATCGAAATTGAACCAAGATTAATTGAAGTCGCTCTACAATGGTATTACTTCGTCATGTGCAAACTTATCTAGTATCGACTACTGAAGGATGGATTCGGTGAAAAACAAATTATTATCAACGGGCCATCAGCATCACAACAATCGCGTCCTCCCCCACTCCCACAGTGAACATCCATACGAAGATTATGCAAAAGGCAGTCTACAATAGCATATGTATATATATAAGCATATTTCGTAAAAATTCACATGAATTTCTTTTTGAAAGGAATCCTGTAAAGACCAATATAAGAGTGAAAACGGCAGTTCTCATCATTTTCCGGCTTTAGAAAAGTTCCATAATGCGAAACATTTTAAATGAAGTTCTTCAAGTTTACGTACACCATTTGGAAATCAAAGCTCGGCTGCAACAGTGGAGGTCGGTGCCGTATTACTGAACGGCTGGCTTCTATTTCAAGACGTTCATGAAATCCTAAGTGATCGATTAGAATATTCTCGAACTTCAGCAGGGACTATAATGGCTGTGTGAAATTGGTCCATATAATTTATTCTTCGCCATAGTTCTAACCGTTAAACGCGATCTCTACGTTGGCTGTTATTTTTCAAATATAATTAGCCTTACCCTCCCAACGGTTTACCGCCTCATCGTGGCTTGTAGGTGTTCCTGTATGTCGGGCTGCTATGTACAGCGGGCGATTTATCACCTCGGCAGGGTCTCCTAAGCCGAGAAGGAGTTCTGCGTTCCCATCAGGAAGCCTAGCTATGAGTAAACCAATACCAGAATCCACCACCTCACTGGTATCAAAGTCGCACGGTGGTAAATCTTCCTCTGATCCACAAGGGCTATGACTACCTGTCGTGGTGAAGACCAGAGACAGACTTTGGCAGGGCTGACATCGGGACTCTAGGAAACCATAATGGATGACCCGGATGGTGTAGTGGTGAAGTGCGCTGCTCCCCGGTAAGGACAATAGCGCGTGTTCGTTCTCCATTGCATACACCTGTGGTCCGGAGTTTTGCAAATATCTCAGCATTTCATACGAGTCATAATGGATTAGCCAACAAATCTTCGAACAATGGAGATTATGCTGGGGCTCGTACAAGCAGTGAGGACGGGATATTTAAGTATCAAGTATCAAGTAATTAAGTCTCACTCTCGCGTCTGAATAAAGAAATCCTACCTATTCTCAATGAAATCGGTTTTCGTTTTTCTCTAATTCTCTCAGCCAGTCTATTTTTAAATCACATAATGATTTTGCCTACAGACGAAGCTTAACTGGGTTTAATACCTATTGGCGCTCCTCAGATGATTCCCATAAACGGGTGATTGCTGATGGTAACGTTAGGTAGAAAGCTAGCTGAGAGAAATATAGGACAAGGAACTCTGTGGTGCCGTGCAGAACACATGAACCTTGGGAAGGGCAATCGTGGTTCGATTTGGGCTGGGACCTAAGTTCTTCAGATTTCTCAGCAGCACGGCGGTTGTATTACACATACTCACCTCTACTACTTGTTTCACCTGTTTTCCCGTTGATCGCCGAGTGAATAGTGTGAGCGCCAGTTAGTGTTCTATTTTTCCCTGTCGCTTGCAAGAATAGACCAGTGGGTTCTGCTTGCTTTAGGGACTCGTCGAGCGTCATATCTCTCTTTTAGACTTATCGAGAAGAACTCTGGCTGTTGAGTCGGTGGTCTTTCTGCAGAGCGTTTAACATCCCGAGAAATCCATTCACTAACGGCTCTTGTCCATCGGTAATCGTTAATACGCATTACGTGTCCGGCCCACTTTATCCTCGACTGCTTGGCGCACAGAACGGCACCTTTGATTTTTGATAGTTGACCCAGGCCGGAGCTTCGGATCGAATCCCTTACTTGTGTGAAACGGGATGCTCCTAGCATCGTTCTTTCGCCTGCGCGTTCGATCACGCTGGGTGATTTTTCATCCTGTTGACGCAGCGACAAGGTTTCTAACGCACACGTCAACGCAAGAAGTACCGTTGAGTCGGAAGGTGTGCACGGAGTCGGGCGTACTTTGTTTTTTCACCACTTCCTCGATGCTCTTGAAAGCTCACCAAGCCGCTCGTCTCCTTTTGCTCAGCTCTGGAGCTAAGCCGTTAATCATATTGATTTCCCGACCTAGATAGACATAACTGGAGCATTCGAAGATATTCGTTCCGTTGAGTGTGAATGGGGCATACGAAACGAATCCGTTCTTCATGAATANCGTTTTTGTGAGATTTAGTCGGAGACCAATCTCTCCACAGGCTTTATCAAAGTCGGCAAGCATACGTTTCGCTTGGCTACTATTTGGTGTTATAAGGACGATATCATCAGCAAAGCGAAGACTGTGTAATTGCACACGTCGACGAGTGTGAAATAAATCCATGTCGCGTTGGTGTTGACTGCAACAACGTCCCAGGAAGACTTTAATGCATTTTCTCTCCTAGGCGTTATAGCTGTGAGAATAACGAGTTTTATAGATGCTTGCCTCAAGCAAATCATTATTTATGTCTGCATGTAGCTCTTAAAAACTGCTACTGATAATTTTTATGTGATATTCCCTATACCCGCTAACACATCTTCTCATAATATCGTTCAATGTTGTGGAATTTCGAAGGTTTCAAAAGCCTTATGATTTTCTTCAGCTAACGGCCAGACATGCGCAGATATTGGCGAATGTGCAGTTGCGAAGTGTCCACGCTCCTCAAATTCACATGTTCCATGCTTTAACACAATCGGCTCGTTAAACTGCTGTAACTGTCAACAGGGTAGGGCAAAGAACACTGACATTTACTTTCCGACTTTGTCTCTTACCTCTGCTTTTCTGTCTTCGAAATCGTTCCACAGGTTATCGTGATGATGGTCACACGTATCGTCACTATTCTGTATGCGATGGAGCTCCGTCACATCGGTATGCCAAATCTGTTGGAGATCCATGGTCGCTGAATTCGGGTGAATTTTGCTCAAGTAATTAAGTGTATCGAAAAATAAATGCAGGACAATTTTCTAGGGGTTGTCGAGCGTTTTCAAAGCATGAGCCCACGGCCGGGATCGAACCGACAATCTTCTGATTTAAAGTCGGACGCCTTATCCATTAGGCCGCGAGGGCGGCAAGAGACTGTGTCTATATTGATCTCTATGTTCTTATGAACTGATCCAGTTGAGCTGATATTAACTTACATCAACTTCGCCTTAGCTCAATAAAAAAATGCGTTCGGAAGAACATAGAAAGTCGATATGTCGATTATTTATGCCGGGGTTTACAGAAAGTTGATTTTTTGAATTGTAACAACGTTGGCGGAGATGGTACTTTCAAAAAATAGATAATCATTGTCGTGGCACTTGCAATTTCCACAGTGGAAGTCAGATGCGTTTTTCATGGAACACGAGGTTACGGGCTTATCGAGCGTTTTCGAAAATCGTCGTTGCTTCTTTTTCTGAGCACTCTCGTAAATGAGTCCGCCTGCGATGCCGCGCGAATTGAAAGACAGTCCAAGAAATCGTCCTTTTTGAGGTATCGCCGGTACCTCTTCTGGGCAATAATAATGCTGCGTTTTTCGAATGTTTAGTGACACTCAACGAGAAATGATCCTCTACGACCAGTTGCACCAATCGGTTGAGTGACTAGAATAACCGTACTATAATAAAGCTCCGCATTTTCTAAAGCCGAAATTCCACTAAAATAAGGCTAAGTTGATGTCGTTGAGCTGATGCGAAAAGAATCTAAAGGAATCAGGAATCAGGAATCTAAAGGTCCACAGTGCGCAAACCAGCAGAACTCCGAAAGAGTGTAGGATCTACCCTGCGTCCCAAGCTCACCAAGCCATTCATTCCTACGTGGTCGCCAAATTAGCTTGTATATGTCAGTT